CCACGGAGGCCGTGCGGGTGGACGGATTTGTGACCCCAGCCTCGCTCCCAACCGCTGCTGGCAGGACGTCAGCCAGAGCAGGGGGCCTCTGGGAAGGGGGGAGGCCGCGGAAAGCCTGTCGGTGGGTCTCGGGTTTGGGGGCCGCTGACGCACTCCGATCGGGGGACCAAGGACCGAACTCCGGGCGGGTGCTGCATTTCACCTGTGTTCACCTGGGCCCTCCCTCATCCGCCTGACCGTCCTCTGCTTACGGGGGGCCCGCCTGCGTGGGGTGTGCGCTCTGGCCCTTTCCCAACGTGGGCCTCGGGGAAGTCCGTCCACGCCCATCAGCCAGGCCCGGGGCGCGGGGACGTGCGAGGAGAGTCCGTGCCAAGTGGTTCCGCGGAGCCTGGCACCCGCGTGCTCTGACGCGCCGTCCGTGAGACACCCTCCGTGACCTAGGTGCGGCGGGGTGACTGGCGATGGCCGTCGGATGTTCTGTGTCCTCCTGGCCAGGCCCTGAGCTGTGCTGACCTGAGCAGTGGCCGACCCCGGGCCATCCCGGTCCCCTGCCCGGGCCTGACGGGCCATAGTGGCCAGTCCCCGTGCTGTCTCTCCTGCCCCATTCGGGCCCTGCCTGTTCTCCAGCATTTCACCGGGGCCCAATTTTCAGACGCAGACATGTCAACCTAAAAACTCTCCCACAATGACAATTCTTCTCCATCTAGCCGCCCAGCCGTCACTCAGCCCAGAACCCGCGTGAACGAGGATGGGAGCTTTACCCAACAGTACATCCTAGAACGTGTGTCCCATGGAGGTCTTCTCAAAGACACTCCCCCGTCCACGGTGCGGACGGACCCCAGACAAAGCAGCCGGCCCTGTGACCGACGGGGACCCGGTGTGGCTGGGCAGGCCCGTTGCTCAGGCTCACGGCTGTGAAAGTCGCCACCTTGACCACAGTTACCCCCGTGATGGGAGGACTCACCTGCATGGAGGCCCTCCCTCCCCTGGTGACAAGGCACAGCTGTTCGGGAGACCGGCGGTTTGTGGCCAGGTCTCGAGCTGGCATCCAGGGAGGTTCCGCGGGATCAGCACCGTGTGCTGGCAAGGCCTCGCGTGGGCTTGCTGTCACGTGTGGCTTGAGGAGGGCGCAGGTTCTGTGGACGTTAGAACATCTCCGCACTGTGCCCCCCACACCTGTTCTAAAGGTCCCTTCCCTGGAGGTGCCCTCTGGGTTGGACACCACTCGGGAGGCAATGTCTCCAGGAGGGAGCTGACGGGGGCAGCGTGGCCACACAGGGCTCTGGGTGACCGGATGGAAGCAGCGGGGCCTCCCGGTGGGAAAGGTTGTAGATGTCCCCCCCTCCTTAGCCCATTTCAGTGGACAGACCTCCCTTCTTGGTGGAGGGACCAGGCAGCAGAGGGGATGTTAACGCTGTGTAGACTTCACCAGCCAATCTGCCCACCAGGGAGCCAAGAAGTCAGTGGCATCAGTCATGGGCGGTGCCGCACCTGTGCTCAGACACATAGGTGTGTGTTCACACCTTTCGGGGCCCGGTGAGACCCCCGGCTTCCTAAAGCCTGTCCGGAGATTCTTCTTGCTAAAGCTTCCTTTGCACGCCTAACTGTGGTTGTTCCATAGATAGGTAGATGATAGATAGATATAAGGATAGAGATAGATAGATACACAGGTAGGGACAGACAGACAGACAGACAGACAAGCATAGATGCTGGTAGGTGGGTATTTTCCCCCCTGTCCTTAGTAAGGGGCAATCCTTTGGTTTACATTTCACACGGTTTCTATATCACTTCTCAGGAAATGGTAGATGCATGTTTATTTTCTCGTTGAGTCCTGTCTCAAGCTGGGTATGAGATGTTATCCACGTTATGGAGGCCATGGCCGCAGGCTCGCGGGCCGTCGCGAGGTGTTGTCAGGTTCTCCAGAGGAGAACCCACAGGGTGCACGTGGATATGTACGTAGGCATCGGCTCACGTGGTTGTGGGGGCTGAGAAGTCCTTCAATGTGTGGCTTGTAAGCTGAGACGCAGTGTCGCCGGTGCTGGGATCGGTGGGGCGGAGGGCCTGGGAACCGGGAGCACGGTGTCCAGGGGCAGGAGAGGACGGGTGGCCCGGGTCAGGAAGAGGGCGCGGGCTCGGTCTTGTTCCCACCTCTCGCACTGTTCACCTGCCCACAGGGGTCAGGACCCCCTTTTATGTGCCCCTCGTCTACGGCCTCAACGCTCACCCCTTCTGGAATCTCCCTCACGGACACACCCGGAAATGACACGTCTCCAGCTCCCTGAGTCCCTGTGCGGACATGCACGGAAGATGAGCCCTCACCAGTGCCCTATGGAAGAAGGACCTCGGGGCGCCACCATGTCGCAGGGGGTTAGCAGGGGGTCATTGGCGCATGGGAGCAGCTGACTGTGCAGTCTACACCGCTGACCTTTAAATGGCCTCAAATATGAGGACCAAGGTGGGAGTCTGTTTTGACCAGCCCAGGTCACACCAGAGCAACTTGACTTCAGCACCGATGAGCCTCCGACAGGTTACCTTTGCCAAGTTTTTAAGTTGAGGAAAAGGAATACGGAACAACGGTTGGGTTTTTGGTTTGTTTTGTTTTTAAGCCTCGTATCTGAAGACAGAGGTAAAACGACACACTCTGACGCGTCAGCCACCTAAATTCCATCACAAAATTGTAAATGTACCAGGGAAACTGGATCACCTCAGACGCGGTTTATTTTCAGGCACAATCAGGCAGTGAGGAATACGCCTCTGGGTCTGCACCGGGTACATCACTGACTTGTAAGCACTGAGCGGAGAAAGCACGAACACCCAAAGAGCCTAAGAGGTAGAGCACTGGCAGGACTTTGGTGAGAAAAAGTGAGTCAGAAATGAAGACCCTACGGGCCGCCAGACCCTCGGTCCACATCTGGGCCACGTGCAATGCCCAGGGACCGGCCCTGACCTGTCACTGGGGGCGTTTTCAGGAATAGATTGGAGAAGAGTTTACAGTGACTCTCACATGTCTACTGACACACTCTTTACGTAGTGAGCGTTTGACAAGACATTTCTAATTCTGTAAAAGGATAAAATATTTAGAATCCTGCTAAGGTAACACATTTACATCGATAATACGTAAGTGGCTTTCTAATTCCTCTCTTCCTGTCAATACATAACACTGAAAAGAAAACAAATAATCCAGAATGTTTATTTCCAAAATTGGAGCGTGATTCATTTTTATTAATATAGGGGTTTCACAGGCAGAAAATTGACTTTTATTATGTGTTTAAACAAAGCTGTGAGCGGAGAGCATCTTAGGGGTCGAACAACATAACAGGATGTTGCGAAGGCGAGCCCCGTTGCTGTGGCTGGGGGCCACCGTCTGCGGGCAGCGTCTCGCTGGCGAGGGCGCGTCTTCCTCGTTAGCCACCCCACGTCCTCTGCGAATGTGTAGTGTCCCGTGGAGGACGGGGCGCTGGACCAGGCCCGGAATCCGTTCCCCTCCGCTTCCTATCTAAGGATGGATGTGAGAAACAAATATGATATTCCTTAAAAAATACAATGCTTTGCGTTTTCTCCAACAACTTGACAGCTTGATGAGTGACGTTTTTCGAAAATAATAAAGCACTCGAAACCACAAACCCATCTAACTTTGGAGTGAATGTTCTGTTCTTAACTCCGTAGCTGGGAAACACAGCAGTGATTCCTACTGGGGATTTTCAAAAAGCGTTAGTGCAAAGACCACAAATAATGTCACTCCGGCAAGGGGCACACTGTTGTTTCTGTCCCTCACCTCCCCGTGCAGGAACAGTTTTAGCTGCAGGGTGGAGGCAGGGGTGGCTTCAGAGCCCCCCGGGAAGAGGCGATGAGAACAACACAGACGAGGCTCTGGGCGCCAGCGAGCCCTGAAAGCCCACCAGCACTGCCTCAGTGCTGCAGCCGGCAGAGTGGGGACACGGGCTGCAGCCGGCGGTGGGGACACCGGCCGCAGGGGGCCACGTGCGTCCGGGCCACCTGGCCCCACCTGGGTGGCTGTTGTGCAGAGGAAAGGTCACGCAGGCCCTGGCCACACTTGGTCATCTCTTCCTTCCATTTTTCTCTGTGACTCGTAACCTGCCACCAGCGTGAACGTGCCAAGGACCGAAGAAAATCAGGAAAACACGCCAGGTCCCTCCAGTTTCCTCTCTGGAAGGATGATGCTGTCTCTTCTTGTGCCTGAAGGGGCGATCGGTGGGCTTTTCCGGCTGACTCTCGTTTGCCGTGTTAATCACCCCTCCTTTCCCTAAAATAGATGCTGCAGGTGCGCGGCAGATGGAAGTCGCCCGGGGGGCTGTGCCGCGTGTCCCAGAGCCAACGCCCCCGCCCCCACCCCCGAACTCTGAGCCCTCAGGATGTCCCCCCACCCTGAGCCCTCAGGGGGTGGGAAGCCAGGTCTGCACATTGCTCCAAAATCAACACCCGCCACCCCTCCCAAGAGACAAGACCTGAGGGCTCTGGGTCAGACATGCCCTGGCAGGGGGGCCCCTGTGCCGGTGTGACCCCACCTGCTGTGCTGGTGGGTGTGAGGACCCTGCACCTCGGGAAGAAAGGGGGGGACAGCACAGCGTTTGTCCTGCTCTTTCCCCATCTGGGAGGGGGTCTGCCCAGTGCCCCCCCCCCCACCTGCCCGGTCCCCCCACCTCCTTCCCGGTGCTGTCCCCTGCCATATGCCTGGTGCCCCCCACCTCCTGCTCCGTGCCCCCCACCACATGCCTGGTGCTCCCTGCTGCCTGCCCACCCCCTGTGGAAGCCCCCTGGCCCTTCCCCACCCCAGCTCCCGCACCACCATCACCACCGCCAACTCTGTCCCTCTGCTCCGGAACTTTCTCAGTGGCATCCTCCTTCCCTGGCTGGCTCCTCATGTTTTCCATTCCTGGAGTGACCCATCCTGGGCTTTGCACCCCTGTGTCTGAAGTCTCCCCAGGCATTTCTGTTCTCCCATCTGGCGCTGGCCGAGGACTCCTGCTCCGGAGGTTTGTTCACTGCAGATGCGGGGCGGCACTGAGAGGATTTAAGGGCCGGAATTTAAGGGTGCGCAGTGCTCGTGCGTGGGCACAGTGCTGACGCCAGGCTGGTGGGGAGTGTGAGGGGAGGACCAGCGAGGACGCTGTCTGAGCCGTGTCTGGGTTGTGACATCCACGGGGACAGGGTGCAGAGCTCCTTCCTGGTCCCAACGTACAACAGGAGTGACGTGGCGTAGACTGCGTGGGTGAGCGTGGCCTGCAGAACCACACACGGCCGGTCACGCCGGGTGACTCCGTGGGGATAATATCACCCCAGGTTAAGTGTCTTCATCCGTGATTGCAAACACGAGAGCCTCCTCGCGGCCAACGCAAGGACTGAGCCCAGAGCCCGGTAGACGGCGGTCATCCAGGGGACGGCAGGGGACGGCTGCCATCCCATCATCAAAGCCAGCCTGTGGGTGCCCACCTCCGCTGAGGGTACGCGCGGTGCATAGAATTTATCAGCTAAAAGTTAAATAAAGATCCTCGGTGGCGTCCCGAGTGCAGCTTACGGTCTAACAGCAGAAATGAGGATGATCGCGAGTAAGCCAAGTGCATGGTTTGTCAGAAGGGCTCTGGGAAGACCCTCCAGGCCGGGAGGGGGAGGGCATGAGGGTCGGGGCCACCTCACAGAGCAGCTGCTGTGAGCGCGTGAGAGGTGGGATGGGGGTCTCGGGAGCGAGGGGCCTCCGACAGACGAGGAGGAAATGGCCAAACACTGCCGGTGCCGCCCGAGGGCCGGGAGACACTGGGACCGGATCTGGTCGCCAGGCGAGCAAGGCCGCGGGTCGCTGCTGAGAGAAGGGCCGGTTCTGGGGGCCGGTGGGGGGCGCGTGGGGACAGGGCTGGGCTCTGGAAGTGTCTACGGCAGTGCAGGGGGCAGGGGGACGTAGCTGGCAGGCAAGTGTGGTTCCAACAAGCTTTCTGCTCTGTTTTGTTTTGATTGTGTTTTAAAATAGGACAGATAACAGCGTGCCTGCTTGCTGACGGGAAAAACCCAGTAGGAAAACAACAGAGCCAGGGAAACAAGCAGCGATTTGTTGGAGGAACACCGTTGAGCAGGCGGGATGAGACGGGCCTGGTGCACACGAGGGCGTCTGCTTTGTCTCGGACAAGGACAGTCATTGCGGTCGGTCGTCAGGACGGAAGGCAGGGCTGTGGGCACAGATGGGGACATAGGTACCTTGTTCTGACTGCCCCGGCTCTCCGGGAGGCCAGAGGTGAGCACCGGGTCAGCGCTGGTGCAGCGAGGAGGGAGGAGGGTGAACAGACAGGCGAATGGGCACCCCGAGCGGGCCCGGGTCCCTGTTTATGCTACGCGGTCTCATGAGCATTCCCCAGCTGCGGTCATTGGGTGGTTGCAGACACAGGCTGCAAGGGCGGGCGGTTTAGCCACCTAAGAGCCACTAAGTCAGCAAAGTAAGAGAGGTCCGTCCGAAAGGTTGAGATGGAAGGGATGTTTCACGGCACTTAAGGAGAGTCAGGTGGGGAGACTGGACGTCTAGATGACAGCACGAGAGCTCGACCCTAAAAAGGTGATGAGGTTCAAAGGATCGGGGGTCTAGATGAGCCCCTCCGTCTGGCCCGGACGGAGGACGCGGGGAGGACACAGATGCCCAGGCTGTGGGGCTAGAGGGCGTGGCCGTGGGACTGCCATGGAGGGTAGAACGGAGAAAGTTTATGGGCCAGGGTAGGGAGCCGTGTGGCAGAAAGGGCGAGTCTCCTGGGGTCACGGAGAGGAAGGCGCCCGTCCCTGTCCCTGTTACCCACGAAGCGAGCCTCCCCGAGCTCACAGGTTGAAGCCCTCACGCCCCGTGGCTGTTCTTGGGGATGGGGCCCTTTAGGAAGCAATTCAGGCTAAGTGAGGTCACTGGGGTGGGCCCTGATCCCACAGGACTGTCCCTACAGGAGGGGCCGCCCGAGGACACAGCGGGAAGGCGGCAGTGGCGAGCCCAGGCGAGTCCTCACCGCGAAGCAGTCCTGAGGACACCTCGACCTTGGACCCCCAGCCGCCGGGACCGTGAGAAAACCGGTGTCCGGTGTTTCAGCTGCCTGTGTGGTGTTTGTCAGGGGGCCGGGCTACTGACTTCAGGGTGACCGCTCGGTCTGGACAACGAGGGCCCCGAGCCTGTCACTTGGACCGGTGTTCAGGTGACCTTGGTTTGAGGGGCATCCTCGCACCCCCACCCGAAGCACCGGGGCGTCACCGTCCGCGGGCGAGTGTCGTCCACCAGCATCTCCCGCTGCTGGACCAGGAGGGGCCACGTTCCCACCGCTACTCAAGCCGCACCCCACGCCGGCTGTGGCCACAGGGACTCCTGTGCCCCCGTCCGGGTCCGGGCTGCCAGCACCGGGGCAAGGAATGCCCAGTAGGGACCCTGGACACTTGCACGGGAACGGGGTGTCGCCGAGCAACCTGCCACCCTTGGAGAGTTGCCACAGGGCATCTGCAGGCGGCCCCGGAGCGGGAGGGTCGGCAGAGCGTGGCCCTGGGTTAACGCGGGGTTTGCGGTGTTGTGGACCCGACGGGCACGTTCGCTGTGATCTTAATCGTCCGCCCTCTGTGTCGGTCTCACGCCACCGAGGCCGATGCCCATGGTTTCCTCCCGCGTTCGAGGGCCGGGAGAGCCGCCGTGCGCTGGGAGGCCTGGCCTCTGCGGCTGCCACGTCGCTCGTAGCTTCTGGCAGCAGGAGCCCCGGTCAGCTGGCGTCACCCCAGCACGGCAGGAAGTCTCTCAGTGTTCGTTTTTTTCCCTCACAGACGAAAAATCTGACTCCAGAAGGATTTCCAGGAATTACAGTATAAGAACGTAGCATGTGAGATTTTAATTTTCTTCCTAAAAAAATACAAGTGAAATCAAAGCACAAGAAACCAGACGGGGCACAGCTCACGTGGGCACATTCCACTTTGCAGGACAGACGCAGGCTCCCCCCACTGCCTACCTCACCCGGGGTCTGGCTGGCGGGGAGCCCAGGAGAGTGGGACTGTGGGCCGTGGGTTGGGGGCCGATGGCAGCGGCCAAGGGAGGCAGGACCAGTGGGTGGTAGCGTCCCATCCTCTCCAACTCCGATGGCACCTGTGCGCCTCCCTGGAGGGGGGTGTCCTGTCCGTCCTGTCGCGGGGAGTCTCGTGGTTGGGCCCGTGCCCTCCGTAGGCGGCCTGTGAGTAGCTGGTACGGCCATCGGGGGAGGCCCCGTCCCCACGGTGTCCCTGACCTCCCCTCCTGGCCCTGACATGTGGGTAATACTCTTGCTTTCACTTTGTAAGTCTTCGTGCTGACCCTAGTTCACGGTGAAGCGTGCTTTCAAGAGAAGTGATCAGGACTCCGGAACCCCACCAGCACCCACGGCCCACGGACGGCCAGTCTGGAAGTCTGGAGGGGGCAGATCTCTACCACTGGTGACACAGCCCGCTCACCTCCGTGGTTTCCACGTGTCCCCACGGCGCTCCACAGGGTGGAGTGTGCTCGTGCCCATGGGGGGGGTGCCTCTGCCCTCGGCGGTCCCGTTACCCCCAGGAGGGTGCCGGTGTGACCAGAGAGGAGGCGTGGGATCGTCAGGCCTTGTCTTCTACGGAAAATACCGTCAAGCCAGAAGTTTTAGGAAAAGCATAGCCTCTGATCACTGTGGTACAAAGTCAATTGCAGGTTTCAGTGGATTTTTTTGTTTATATAAACATGTAAGTTGCCCATATGAGATGATGTTTCTCATTATGGGGAAGAAACAAGCATTTATGATTTGACTTGTGAACGGAAGCATAGGACACCTCTGAGCTCCACCCTCCGCTGCTAAGTGTTCACATTATGGTTGGGCTTGATGAAACGAACACATTTATTCGTAAGTTTATCCCGAAGGTAACTGTAAATATTTATAAATAAAAAGAATGTGCTTGTTTCTGGCCAAAAAGTAAATCATCCTTACATTGTCCTTCTATGTCAGTGTCAAGATAAGACTGATTTTTAAAGTGAAGAAGATGAATTTTCCATAATTTATTGTCTCGGGTCCAGTGTTCACGTGCAAACCCGTAGGGAAGGGGTCACATCTGGGCCCTCCTCAAACGTGCTGTTGTGGCATTAAGTGCACAGACATAGTTCAAGGTGTGGAAAGGACAAATCAGACTGGTTCCTGTTCCTGAACTTGCACCGGCATGGGCCTCTCCGTGCAGAAATGGCAACTGACGGAAGTTGAAAGCTTATTTTGTGCTAAGCTGTGTTTGGCACGAATTAAGTCACCTGGGCCTCCCGGGGGTCCCCCAAGTAAGGTGCTGTTATTGTGGCCGCAGGAAGGCTGACAGTGCGGAGCCTGCTTGGGATTCTCTCTCTCTGCCCCTCCCCCACTTGCGCGCTTTCTCTCTCTCAAAATAAGTTAATAAATTTAACAAAGTATGTAAGTGGAAAAGTATTAAAAAATCTGATGTCGTTAATTTGCATATTTTTAAAAAGTTTCTGATGTGATCCATACTATTATTTCAATGCCTAATTTATTAAAGAAATGTAAAATAGCACATATTTTATTAGGTATTAAATATAGATGGAAAATTTGATGGGAAATGCATCCTTAATGAGCCAGGTAGGGTTTCTTTCTCAAGTATTTCACATGTATGTAGATAAAAGTTATTTAATGCTCTGATTAAACAATTTAATGTGCCAGTTAATAAAAAATATTGTTGGATTGGATTTAAATGGAAAAACTTCATTATATGCTTCTTACACAAGACCTTGTTTAAATGTACAGACACAGTGGAAGGATATACATCACCAGAGACAAAGACGTTTCTAGCATCGTGGAACAAGGAAGAAATTCCCACAGTGGAAAAAGAGGGGCTCCGTGGAAGATCTACCGATTCTGAATCTAGGTAAAATTTAGATTTCAATCTAATAATACAATATTAACGCACCCAAATAAAATAACCTTAAAATAATGCTCAGAACGGGACAAATCTAAAGCAAGGACTGGGAAATCTACAACCATATTGGAATAATTCAGTTCACCTTCTATAGAAGCTGATAAAATGGGTGAACAAAAATCAGAGGCAGTACTGAAGAGACAACAACGTGGTAAACAAAACCAAGCTGTAGACACATCTGGGACGCAGGCAGGCAGTGCCCCGGCAACTTCTCAAGCGCACGGGGACTCTTCCCCACAGGTGACCGCACGGAGCAGTGGAGAAACCCTCCACATAATTGAGCAAATGCACCATCAAGGAAACCGTGCCTCTGGGGCTCTGTATTTCCCCAGACTAGATGACCTTTATTTCTTAACCTCCTCCTTATCTCCAGCTCGGCCTGTCTCTCTGTCTCTGTCTCTCCCGGCTCTCGCACTGGATGCTTCATGAAGGCAGGGATTAAACATGTGTGTGCTCACAAATGGATCCCAGGGGTAGCAAGGCACGTGGTTTATCACACACGCTCCGTAAACGCTTGCTAAGTGAATAAACAGAGGCTATTTCACAGGATCTCGGGTCGGGCACAAGCTTCCTATCGGAGGTTCTCATGACTGTCCACACTCCTGCACTCTGTCTGTCTTCCGTTTTGACCTGATTTCCTGTGGGCCTTCAACATTAGCACCTCTTGAACTGGAAAAGCCTGGAAAGTCTCTCCTGGGGGACTGTGTGTCAGCTACCGAAAGGTGGACTCCAGGGCACGTGACCCTAGATTTCTTGTCTCTACCCGCTTCCTCAGACACCAGCGCTTGGGACCCGCCGTCCGGGTGCTGACGGAGGCTGCCCCCCCCCCCGCTCTCTGCGTCTGTGCTCCCCATCTCCAGCTGGCCCGAGCTGCGTGGCAGACGTGATCACGGAACGACGGGGCTGTTCTGAGGGTCTAAGGAGGCCCCAGAGAAAAGCAAGGACGTGACATGAGCTCGCCCTTGAGAACTCGGGGCGCCCCAGAGCAGGGGGTCTGTTTGTGCAGGCAGAATACCTCAGCAGCAGCCACAGTTTCCAAGGAGTGCCAAGTGACATACACAGTCGTCATGGGAAAGAATTCGCAGACGCTGTATGTAAGGACCGGCATATTTCTGTTGATGGGGAGGGCATGCGGGCCTGTGGCTTGTGTTGAAGACTTAATTTTGGAATCCTGTGACCGGCTTTTCTCCAAATCTGGAGCCCCCTCCTTTCTGGATCATCTCCCACGACAGGCTGCTAATGAATTGCACCATGTGCTGTTCTGAGTCGGCACCACGAGACACAGATCCGCTGCGGCCACGAGGGCAGATGGCGGCCGTGGAGGAAACGAGGCAGGACAGCCCCTCCTGCTACAGATGATGTGTCTTTGTTATCCCTTCTCTCCAGGAGGGAAATCACTCCACGCGTTTTGATGAAAGAGACGATCCTTCCACTTGTAAGACAACGGAATAAACAATCCTGAGGCCAGTTGCTTAAAAATTCTCCCGCTTCTACATCAGTTTCTGCCAAAGACCATGAAGAAGCGAGTTGCTTGCTGGCCTCTCTCCGCCCCGCAAACACACCGCATTCATCGCGTGGCTTGTGTTTTGCCCGGAGTGAAGAATGCCAGGGACTTGCCCTGGGGCCCACTTCAGAATGTCTGCTGTATGCTTTAATTCTTCAGAGCAATGATCTCCTGCCTGCGCGGGAGGCTCTGGGGACTCGTGAGCATCTCTCCAGCCCCTCACCGTGGCCGTCGGGGGAGCCGCCCCGGCATGTGCTGGGGGTGCTGCCTGCGGCCCGCCGGGCTAGAAGCGAAGAGGACGGTTGTGCTTACGGAGAAGCCGCCGGTCAGACTTGTGTTTGGAAACCGTTCTCTTGTTCGTTTAGGTGATGCCGAACTGTGTCAGAGACCCCGGTTGCCATAAAGTATGAGCTTGTGATCTTCGCCTCCACTGATGCAACTTACGATTTCTTTCTTTACTCGTGTTCTGTAATTTTGCAAATCACTTTAAAGTGAAATAAACGCTGGCCCAACAAAAGCATCTAAATGCAGCTTACTTGGCACGGCTTTGCCTCAGTTCGTGATCTCATGGTTTTGGTCACACATTTTATAGTGCGTCTATTATTTTCTTAGCAAGTCTGCATCACTTCAGTTTTCAAATTAATTAACACATATTTATTCTAGAAAATGAGGGTTAGCAAGGAACAAAGCAAGCAAAATCGTGCTGGTATAGCGCTTGCATTCTGGGGGGTAGTGATAAATAAAAGTACGTAACGTCATCTCAGAGGCTACAGTGGAGAAAGACAGACTTGGGGGTGGGGTAGAGATGACGGGCTGGGAGGGCTGTGTTGCCACCCTGTGGGTGGGGGGCTCCGTCCGGGGATGCCTGGACCACTGGCAGGGTGGCCTCACCGTGGGAGGAGCCCAGCTTCATGAACGGGCAGAAGGTGCCTGAATCAGATGCGGAAATGTAAACAGCGTTTTATTAACTGTGTGCTTTGCCTAAAGTCTCTCGATATGCAATCATAAGATTTCCTTCCTACACATTTCCGAGCCCATTAAAAACAAAAAAAAAAACAAACAAACAAACAAGGGATCCCTGCTGGCTCAGTCCTTTGAGAGTCTGACTCGTGGTTTTTGTTCGGGTCATGAGCTCACGGTTTGTGGGATCGAGCCCTGCGTCAGGATCCTCACTGGGCATGGAGACTTCTTGGGATTCTCTCTCTCTCTCTCTCTCTCTCCCCCAATTGCAGTTGCACTCGTTTGCTCTCTTTCACAAAAAATAAACAAATAAGCAAACAAACAAACAAGGCAAGAACAGTTTATGCCCAGTACACAGCAGGGTCCATTGCACAAGTATTTTCCTAATTGTACAGAGAAGCTGTTTTACTTCACATTTATTTTAATATTAATTTCCCAGGAAT